CTCTTACTTTCTGGGTCATCTGTCTCTGCATCTGGCCAGCTTCCTGTGTTTTGCCAGCCCTAGACTGTCTTAGCCATCAGATCATGGGAGCTTTGATACTTGCATTTTTAAAAAAATTTTTTAGTTTTAGATGGACACAATATCTTTATTTTTTATTTTTATGTGGTGTTGAGGATCGAACCCAGCGCCCAACGCATGCCAGGAGAGCAYGCTACCGCTTGAGCCACATCCCCAGCCCTGATACTTGCATTTTTAACAAACTGCTCCAGTTGAAAATCTCTACCAGTCTTTCCCAGGCAAATCTTGCCCCACATTCGTGGCCTCACCTCCCAAGAAGTTTGGTTTGCATAGCTAGAGCTTTAGCTGGGCCATTCCTGGGCCTTATGCTTCATAACTATGTCCCACAAGTATCTCAGACTTGTTCTGACCCCAGATCTTCTCTTCTACCCCAGGCTTATCCCTCCTTTCACCCTTTTTTGGTAAATGGCACTACCACTGCCTGCAGGACAGAGTTCATATTTGCTACCAACCTCCACTAAGCCCAGTATTACCTTCCTCTGAGCAGCTCACAATGTCTGGACCAGCCAGAACAGTTTGAAGTTTTCAGACACTCCATAGCCTTTACAGTGCCTCCCCCATGTGGGAAGGCCCTGTGCCTGGCTCCTGGAAGAACAATATCTACTATTTTCTCACATCCCACTTGCCAGCCTAGTAATATTAAACTAGTCATGTATCCTTTCTGTACCTTAGTTTCCTTATCCTTAAAGTGGGGATAATAATTAGCTCCTCCCTCATTAGAATTCTTGTCAATGTTAAAGATTAAAAAAAATTGTAAGCATTTAACACATCACCCTATATATTGTGAGTGCTCAATGTAGAATGAAGAATTGTCTCCTAAGCAAGCAGAAGCCTTCCCGTACCTCGCCTTTGCTGTATCAATCATTCTTCCTTATGCCTTCACATTGTTCTGTTTGAAGTCAACACTTATTTCATCATCTGTCATTTTCTCCTCAAATGTCTGAGAATCCCTTGAGGGCAAGAACCATTTGTAATTCTTTGTGTACTCCCAGTGTCTACATTGGTACTTGTTATGGTTGGATCCCAAATGTCTCCCAACTTGGTCTTCAGCCTATAGCACCTTTGGAATATGATAAATCCTTTAAGAGGTGGGGCCTAGTTTCAGGAAGTTAGATAATTGGGAGTGTGCCCTTGAAGAGGATATTGGGACCCTCAGTCCCTTCCTATGTCTCTTTCTTTGCATCTCAGCTGCCATGAGATGAGCAATCTCCTCTGCCATGCTCTCCCACCATGATTGCTGCTTTTCTATAAGCCCAAAGGCAACAGGACTAGGCAATCATGGATTGAAGCCTCTGAAACTATTAGACAAAATAAAACTTTCCTTTTTTTAAGTTGTTTTTCTCAGGTATTTCTTGGCCAACATGGTACTTTACCCACAAGGGGTGTTTACTAAAGGCTGGTTAGTGTAGTGTATAACCTCAGTGAGTTAACCAACTAGGCACTGCCTAGATTTGACTCCTGGCTCTCTACCATAACTCTGTGTGACTCTGTGCAAGTTAACCTGTCATCTTCAGTTTCCTCATCCATAAAATGGGGATGGTCATGCTAACATGTAACTCAGATGACTGTAATAAACTTGGAATTGAATAATCAAGGTGGAGCAGTAAGCTCAAAAGCTCAGCAAATATTGATTGTGCCAAGAGTGAGAGTTGTAGCTATGACTAGCTGACACTATGGACTTATGGCATGAAAACTGAGAATAATAACACTGTGGAAAATAAAGGACAGTTTATTTATCTACTATATAGTCTTCAGAAATATCTTCTGATGGTAGTGAAAGATCCATTACCAGAACATAGGCTGAGTTGGGCAGTATTTGGGATTTTTCAAAAAATAATTTTTTAAAAATTTCCCCAGTGTTTTTAGCAGGCCTTCAAAGAACTGTCACCGAAGTGTTTCCTTAACAAACTCCCTTTTATTAAAAAAAAAAAAAATTAACAAATGTGGGTTTAGTGTTGTTTTTATGTTTTCTGAGTTTTTAACTGACTTTACTACTGTATGTGGAATGAGGGGGTAGAACCTGCCCCAAAAAGGAAGGCACATAAATAAAGAGTGGGGGACACTCCTGTGATGAACTTTTTGGAGTTGTTCAAGTTGGTTTTAAAAATAAGTCAAGCTGGGTGGTTGGCCTGGGCCACAGTCTCAACTACTCCCTAGACTGAGGCAGGTGGATCACTTGAGCCAGGAGTTCCAGGAGAGCTTGGGCAACATAATGAAACACCATCTCAATAAAGTGGGTGGGTGGGAAAGCAAACAAACAGAGTTTGCTTCTGCTCTTAGCTCTTCAGTGTTAGTGAGGATGCACCTCCTAGAGGAGGGGTGGTTTCTCAGAATCTGACTTCTCACAGCAGCTGGTTTTCTGCTGTACTGAGGCTCACTCCCAGCCATGAGATTCAGGTGGTCTGGGTGGGGTTCCTCAACCCCCACCCTGTAACTGATGAGCTGTCCCATTGCCCGCAGTTTGCAAACTAAGCCCGAGTGAGCCTTGTCTAAGTTCTGAGGGCTCCCTAGGAGAAAGGTCTAGGTAGGAACTGGCCCCTTCTCTGGTGGCAGAGCCAGTGTGGCTTGTCCCTGGCCAGGTTTTTGTGCCGCGAGAGCTGACTTTGGCTTGGCTCATAGCACTGGATGGGGCAGCCGTCCCTTTTCAGGAGCCCAAAAACACATACTGAATCCATTGGTCCGCGGGACCATTTTCCCATTTGATCCAAGCACAGGGCAAGAACATGGAGAATAGCCACTCTGGCGCTTTCTTGCAATTGAACCATAATGGTGTCATTTGTTTATCGCAAGCTTCTGTTCCAATCCTTTTCGAGCAAGCAGGAAGCCAAAGGACTTCTGCCTCAGTAGCTCTAGCCTGGGGCTCTCTCCACATCCAGGATGTGATTGGAGGGGGAAAGCCACCTTACGGGTTAGGGAGCTCAACTGCTAACGCTGTTTTTCGCCTGATTTTAATGTGAAAGTAGTACATTGTCTGCTTCTCAAGAAAAAAGGCAGTAAACCTCTCTGCTACAGCAATCAGAGCCAATCCAGGGCTCCTCGGCAAGCAGGGGCTCTACCAAAAGGTGGCCTGCGCAGTTTCTCCCTGCCAGGACCCCTGGCAGTGCGGGAGAGCTTCTGTCTGCTCTGCCCCAGTGGGGTGGCTTTGAGACCCTCTCACAAGAGATCTACCCCAGCCCCCATAACTGCGTGATGGGGTGGGGTCGGATGAGCTACCCCTAGCGGAGATGCCATGGCTTCGTCAGCCAGAAACTTAAGGGCGCAGTTGCAGGCTCATCCTTGAACAGAGGTCTTTGCCCAGGGCTGACGGGGCACCTGAAACGTAGAGCTAAGGAGAGGCCACAGTCCCCCAGACTCAGCGAGCGCAGGAGCCGCAGAACTGCGGGACTGCCTCCTGCTGCGCCGCTAGGAGGGCCTGTGAGGATGCGCAGTGTGGTCCCCGCCCCACCCCTCACTCCTGCACCTGTAGGACATGCCAGGTGAGTAGTTTCCGGAAAGTGGTGTAATTGAAAACCAGGACCCCGCTGAGGGTTCGCAGTTGGGGAGTGGAGGCAGGGCGGACCCTTTCACAAAGACTTGTGAGTCCATTTGAGACTAAGAATAGCTCCTGGGAGTTGGCAGGGGACGTGGAGAGGGTTGTACTGTGCTTTGCAGAAGAGTCCTGGGAGAGTGTGAGTAAAGCTGTAGACCTTTGCCACCTTTCCCAGAATGCATTTTACCCGCCATCGCCAGATGCGAACTCACCCCAACCCAAAGGCCCAAATCTTTGGCTTTGTAATGTTTAGTTGTACTCAGAGCCTACCAGGAACACTGACCCAGGAGATCTTGAACTGAGGGCTGCCCCAGGCTAGTCTTTGACTTGGTAACCTGGAGTTTGAAATGTACCACAAGCTATTCTTTGCTTGTGAAAATACAATTTAATTTCCCTGTGGGTGCTTTTGATTAGTGAGAGCTGTGGAATGGCACGCTGCTTTCCAGAACAGTTCTGGGTAGTTGTTCAACTCTAAATTTAATCCGAAGCCTACATTGTCATGGCTGTAGGAAGCTGTCTGTGGACAGATGAGGATAATGGTTTAAATGAATTAGCAAGTTGGGAGAGGAGAGCCCATCAGCAGAATGACAAATTTAGGGTTTTTAAAGACATCTGGTCAGCAATGCTGGAACTTGTGATTGACTGAGTGATTAATAATGGAAAACCCTTAGTTCAGTGTTTCCATCATTCCTCACCCTCTTCCCCAGCGAGGGCCAGCAGTCTGCTTAGCTTGCCAGAGAGGGTTCCAGCTGAACAATGGAGCATTTGGGCTCCTCATCTTTGGCCTTTGCTTGTGAGTTTAAGGCTTTTAGTTTTTCTTTTACTTACCCATCTTGAATCTGATTCTAACTGACAACATATTGACAAGGTTCCCAGTTCCCTTGCACATCTGCTGCTAGCCAAAGCCTCAACTCAGGGTCACTCTTGACTTCTAGTTCATAGTTCACTATCAGGAGCTTCCCTGAGATACACACTATTATTGCTTCAATGTCCTCCAGAGCCCCATGTGTTGAAGGCATGGTCCCTAGCCCATAGTTCTCTTAGGAAGTGGGGTCTAGTTGGAATAAGTTAGGAAATTGGGAGTGTGCCCATAAAGGGAATATTGGGACCCTAGCTTCTCTTTCTTTTAATTTCTGGCCTCCACGATGAGGGCTTTTTCTGCCACACATCTCCACCATATTGTGCTACAATCAAAAACTGAAACCTCTGAAAGTGAGCAAATTAAAACGTTTTCTTCTTCTAAGTTGATTATTTCAAGTATTTTGTTACAGCAACAGAAAGCTGACTAAAACACAGAGTAAGAGAGCCCTAAAATGTACCATTGTCCCTTCTGATCTCTCAAGCACCGTCTTTTCAGAACCCATCTCTAATTCTGTGGTGGCTTTTTTTCCAGGCTCCAGCAGCTGGATAAGCATAGCCAGGCCACAGCGCAGCAGCTGGTGCAGCTGCTCAACAAGCAGAACCAGCTTCTCCTGGAGAGACAGAGCTTGTCAGAAGAGGTGGACCGGCTGAGATCCCAGGTACTCGGCAGACCCCAGCACAGGATGGGAGCCCTAGGGCAGCCTGCCCACCACAGAACATACAGGGGTATGATAGGGAGAATATGCACATGGGTCTCTTACTTGTTTCTTTTTCCAGGGCTGTACCTTAATAGGCTTAAACTCCCACTAGTCACCTTGGTCAGCTCGTAAGCTAAGGGGGAGCTCCTGAAGATTGTGCTGAGCACAGCAGGGCACAGAGGAGTGTAAGCTGAGGCCTGTCTTCAAGCAGATCCAGGTCCATGAATCCCCCAGCCACACTGAGTGCTGAGTCCTACAAAACAGGCAGTACTACCAGGGTGCCAGAGGAGGGAGAAAGGAAGACTGCACTGGTAGAGCAGGCCTCTTGGATGAGGGTGGCCTTGATCTGCCCCTAAAGGATTAAAAAGCTTGAACTGGTTGAGAAAAGACATGTTCCCAATGCAGAAGGTATGTTGTCCTAAATTAGCTGAGGATAATTGGGCTAGGATTTTGAGTGCGTGAAAAGCACCTCGTAGTCTTACACATTGAATATGCATTCTCTCTTTACCCTTTAACAAACCAGGAAGATTGACATTATTGGTCTCCATTTTGTAGATATGGGAAATGAGACTCAAGCAAATGTATACAGCTAGCAAGTAGGGATACAGCAAATGGAACCTAAGTTCTGACTCCACACCCAGGCTTTCCCTATCAGGTTAGATAATGGAGGCAAGAGAATTCAGGTGAATTTGGAGTAGAATGAAACCTCTAAATTGCTTCTTTTCCTGCCAGAGAGGTTCTGCTTTTTGCCCCATCAAGCAATTTGTTAGGATAGGAGTTGGTCTATGGGCTGTCAGTGGCCTCTGCCTTTAATTAGGATTGCACCCAGGTGCTCCATAAATGCCCAGGGACTTTGTGAAGCAAGTGGTTAGAGGGCTGCTGAGGTCACTCACAGGGAAGGAAGAATTGACATCTGAGCCACAGGCTACACCACCACAGTTGTCTGGGATGCGTGCAACAAATGAAAGAAACCCACATTCATTCCAGGGCTGCAGCTGACACATACCTGGGCAGCATGTCTAGGATTGGGACCTAGGAACCTGCATTAAAGCTGTTGGAGTAATTCTGAGGGCCACTAAAGTCTGAGAATCTCCAGGATGTTTGGAGCTAGAACAGACAGATGATTCTAGATTGTGTCACTGTTTAAGGCCCTGGCCAAGTTACTTGTCTCATGGGCCTCACTTTCCCCATCTGCACTGTGAGAATTGGGAAAAAGATACTGGAGTATTAAGTGAGTGTCACTGTAGGGTGCTCAGTGGGACCTTAGGTACTTAGTAGGCTGAAGAAATGTCAGGGTTTTCCTTTCTTTTTTCTTTAAGATAGATAGGGTCTCACTAAGTTTCCCAGACTGGCCTCAAGCTTGCTATACTCCTGCCTCAGCCTCCCTAGTAGCTGAGTTTACAGATATGCATTACCCCAACTAGCAGGATTTTTCTGTCTCATCTCCCTGCATCTTGAGAAGGTCCTGGGAGATGACTAAGGGGACATAAGCACAAGGAAGGCAGAAACTCTGTGGAGCCAGGACTGACAGGACCAACTTCATTCCTCTCTGCTCCGTTTCTCATTTGTGCTAGTGCCAAGTCCCTCATCCTTCATCCAGGCCAGAACCCAACTTGGTGGACAGGTCCTGAGGGAGGACCTGGCAATGCCAGCTTTGTGCCTGGCATCAAGGACACTGGGGCTGCTGGATTTCTAGGCTCCTGTCATACATGATGGAAGGACCATGACTTATGGCGTGAGTGAATCAAGAACTATTTCAGAACTCAGATTGTGGGGAGTCTTCTATGGAGGCTCAAAGTACCAGTACTTTCCTTTTCAGCTCATCATTACAATATGGGCTTCACCTTTTAACTCCCCATTGCCTACTTTATAGCACACTTACATCTTAGCATGCTTTTAAAAGCTGGTAAATAGTAAATGAATTGCAAAAATTGCACAAAATGCATTAAAAAACAAAACGACGACAAAAAAAAAAAAAAAAAAAAAAAAAAACCAAAACTGCAAAATATCCCCAGAAAAACTAGCAGGTCTTTCTTCCCTTGCTTGGAGAAGCAGCAGTGGTTTGCCTGTCCAGTACTATCTGATGCTGGCTCATTTGGCTCATCTCCAAAAGGGCCTTTCAGGTGAAAGTATTACACGTGGAGTTATTTTAAGATGAATGTGACAAAAGAAATTTGATAGCAGAAATGTTGATTTTCAGTAGCAGATACCTAGTAGTGATCAAAGAGGAGGGTTAGGTCCAGTTTTGCAAGCTTTCTGCCGAGTTTCTAAACTTGGAACCTGCTCTTTACATCCAGGTGTTGCAGTGGCCTCTACACGGGGACTGTCAGTGCCCTGGACACTGTGTTTTGTTTTTTCCATAGAAAAAACTTGAATTTTGAGTTAAGTTCCAAATGAGCCCTTTGAGATAATAGGGCTGCTCTTTGACCCTGTACAGATATTTCAGAGGAAGGTGCCTTCTTGGGGTCTGGAGCAATCAGCACACTGTTTTCCTGGAGAGAGTCCTCTAGACCCAATGCTTGGGCATCTGATGTCCACAGCTGCCTTCATCTCCGGTTTGGGGATGGTTTAGCTAAAGGCTTCCATTTTCTCAACACTGAATGAATTAAGCATAATAGCTTAATTTTGTGTGTCAAACTCTAAAAATCTCTGTTCAGTTAATACCCAAAAGAGAATGGATATTTTCTGGCCTGGGCAGCTGCTCTGAAGCTGAGTCATGTCCCCCCATTAGCTCTCACATCCTGAGCCTGCTGCCCTGAGCAGAGGATCTGATGGTGGGGCTCAGGCTTGGCCTGTGGCCTCCGATAGGAAATGTCTAGCTTGTTTAGAAGGCTTGATTATTCTGAATGGCTTCTGCTTAAATTCTGAAACATGCAAAATGACATGTCTGAGGCTGGGGCTATAGCTCTGTTGGTAGAGTGCTTGCCTTGCATGCACAAGGCCCTGGGTTCAATCCCCAGCACCACATGTACACACACACACACACCACCACCACCACCACCAACAACAACAACAACAAAAACCCCATATGTCTGGTGGAAGGAGCTAGTCACAGTTGTAACTGTCACAATGACACTTTGGCCACATTATCCCATGGTGCAGTGTGCAGTGAGGCAGTGTGCACTGTGCAGAGCCCAGGACTCGGACCTCCCAGCCTAGGCTGGTTTTTAGCTTTCTGTTCTTAGTTCAGGACTAAGACCAATGGCTTTATTAATCTTCTGCCTCACAATGAGGAAAAGAACTTCTAGAAAATGGCTTTTAAAAGATCATGAAATGGCCAGGTGTGGTGGCATGCACCTGTAATCTCAGCAACGAGAGGCTGAGGCAGGAGGATTAGAAGTTTCAGGGCCAGCCTGGGCAACTTTAGTGAGACCCTGTCTCAACATGAAAAGATAAAAAGGGCTAAGGATATAACTAAGTGGCAGAGCACTCCTGAGCTCAATCCCCAATATAAAAAAAAAAAAAAAAAAAACCCACAAAATGGCTATATTCATGGAGAAAGACACATTAAAGCACTAACCTAACTTCACCCAAGGGTGATTCCTCTTTTTCTCAGTTATAGCACAGTCTCGTCTCTGGGCAGATACTCTGCTTGTCTTGTGATGGAGGGCTAGGCTGGACATTAACACTTCCTGTCTTGGGAGGCAGGCCCTGGCTGGGGGAGGCTGAAACCTATGGAGTGGTGGCAGGGGATGACATCTGGGGTAAGGGACATGGGGCCCCAGGGGGCGTTGGGCATGACCTGACAGCTTGGAGCTGGGACAGGGGTCTGCAGCCCAGAGCCTAGGGGTTTTAACATCTGTCCAGGAAGGGTGAAGCCAGCTGGTGAGAATGTAAGTCTGTCTGGGGGAGAATGGCATCTGTGAGAGGAAGATGAACAGAAATTAATCTGTCCACTGAGAGGATTATTTTGAACATGGAGATGAGTTTATGTGTTTATGTATTTATTTGGTAATGACTCTTTCAGCTGACTGGTGTGTTCGGGTAGCTGTTGCCCTGGACAGGCTGTTTGGTTTGGTGCTCAGTGTTCAATCTGGGGAGGGGATTCCCTTTTAGTCCCTTAGTATGAATCACTTACAGTTTAGAAAACAGAGTAGGAAACTGACTTGTCAGTGGTTCATCAGTTGGCCCTATGACTTTTAAAGCATTCTTGGCAGTGAATTTACTTTCTAATTTGACTTAAACTTGTGCATGGATCCAGCAGCCATATGTGATTATATTCAAGATCATTGACATCCTCTCATTGCACCAAAGGACTCATCGGATAGAGCTGAAACACAAGCAGGAGAAGCAGACAGATTCTGAGAAGGGGAGGAGAGGTCTATTTGTGACTGGAAGCAAGAGAAGGAAGGACTCTGGAGATAGGGCAGCCTGGGTGAGGGTGAGCCAGGTTTGGGTCTGGCTGAGGAAGGACACATGCAAGACCCTGGCAGTGTAGGCGTCCCAAGTGGAACCTGGATATGGCCACCTAGTTGGTACTTCCTAGAGTCCAAGGGCTTTGCCCAGCTGACTTAAGGCTCCCATATAGTTAGCTACCTGCAGGACAGATGGTGCTTGAATAGAACAGCAAATACACTGAATAAAATAAATTACAAAGCCTTCTCCTGAACCAAGATTTTTTGGAAAGAATTCTAAATAGATGAAAACAAACAATTTGATTTCAACCAAATTGTTGTTTTTTTGTTTTTATCCTGATTTTCACCCGAATTGTCAGTCTCAAAAATAAACACTGATACATTCCCAGAAAATATTTTTCAAATAAAAACTGACTCTGTTAAAGTTTGCCCTGATTCTTTCAAAACTGTGTACAAGACACTGTCAACCAAAGTGACTTGCATATTTTTTTAAATAAACTTGAACATATGCAGCTAAAATGTCATTAACTCCCTGCTGCCTGAGTGTTTTTAAAGAGTGACATAAGACCCCGGTTGCTATATTTCTAACCTGAGGGTCTTGTGACC